GAACACATTCTATTCCCTCTGATCTATAAAATCATTTTAATTTATACCAATATGACTCGAACGAGTTATTCGATGTAGACATACTGAAGGGTACGAATACGAATAATAGTTTGGAAAAGGAAGGATTACAGTCAATATAAATTTAGAGACTGAGAAGAAGCAGCGGAGACGATATAGATGGAGATCATTTTAACTTTTTAACTTTTTAAGATACCAAGAAAAGAAATGATTAATAGATTACATCGGTGAATAAGCAACATTTTATTATTTATCTTATTTCTATCGACAAATATCTTTCATGGTTCTGGAAGAAATATTATCAAGAATGATATGTTTGAGAACTTAATGAATGGAAAATATGGTAAAAAAGATAAAAATTTATAAATAAGGTTAGAAAAAATATGAAGTTATCATTGATACGTATTTTTAAAAATGAATACGAATAGTCATCTACAATACACCATAACTGATATAAATGGATGAAAAGAAAGTAATTAATGGAGACCATTGAAAGTAATAGTTTTAATAAGATCGAATTAAAGGGCTTTAGTTAAGAGATAATATTAAACAAATTCATCCAATCAATTGAATTTTATTTTAAAATAATCATTTTTTTTTCTCTCAAGAACATATTCAGTTTAAAATACATGAAGATACATTCTAATACTAATGTGTCGCATAGATTTTTTTGGAATACTCAACTACATGCTAGACTTATTATCTCAATAAGAGAAATGCAACAAATAAGTTAAGAGTTTTAATTTGAGATCAAATCAAATTCTATTCAAATGAATACCTCCAAAAATTTTGCATCGAATCATTTGTCAAAATAAATTCATATAATGTTCACGGATTACTTTGAACTTCATATATTTTCTCAATGTTTTATTTAATATATGAGAGTTCGAACAACGTGTCAACAATATTTATTATGTTTGACGGCATTTTTTTACTATAGAAAGAGAAACGAATATCATTCTTTATCCTTTTGTTCACTATTGCTTCTTTATTATGTTTTAGATAATTTTTTTCTCAAATGCATTTGTGATAGAATCGTCTGTTTTTATTCAAAACAAAAACAAAAATCAAAGAAAAATATTAGTCTACTCATAATCCAGCTTATTTGACATCCGTTGTCTACCATGACACATACGTTACGTCAAAATATTTAATAGTAAAACAATGAAATAGTTTTCTTATTTTGATGAATTTTTTTTAAACTTTTTATTAGGAAAATGAAATAATTATTGACCTGAGAGCTAGTGATTAAAATATACTAATACTTTCTTTTATTTTCAATAATCTAGCTCTTCTTTGTAATAATTAATGAATAGTTAAAAAACAGAATAGTATACATAAATAATTTGTCATGTTTCTTTGTCTGTGTACATTTGAATGACAATGATTTTTTTCTTTTTTTTGTGATATTGCATATGAATATGCATTATTTATTCAATATTATGTTTGAATAAATTTCTTTTTATTTTCAGTACCAACTTCTGTACCACATGGATTAACATCTCCATGTGTACAACACTCCAAGGCTTTTATGAAAGATGTTAGTCTAGTTGCATTAATATTACAAAATGTTTTGAGTATATTATTATTACGTTATGTACGTACAAGATTAGGTCCATGTTTTATTAATTCAACAACAGTTATTATTTCAGAAGTTGAAAAAGTAATTCTAAGCATATTTTTAGTTATTAATGAAGAGAGTAATACTGTAGCAGCCTTTAAATTAATGTATAATAAAATCATACGTCAACCTAATGATACATTCAAAATTGTAATATCAGCTCTACTTTATACATTACAAAATAATCTTCTTTTTGTTGCCATTTCAAATTTAGATGCTCCTACATTTCAGGTAATTTTGCGAGATACGATATAAAAAGAACATTGAATTGACAACAATAAAAGAATGAACTCTTCGTAAACCATCACAGACAATTTCCAGAAACCATAAGAGATCATAGCCAGTATTGTTGATATATAATCCAGTAGCCTCCAAGATTAAATGTTCTTTTGTTTTCAGAAATTATTGAAGTTTTTTCATAAATCCCGTTGTATAAGCTGTCCTCAAACGAAAGATACTAGATCGAAGGTTAACTCATCAGGATTATGACTCTCTTTTATATGTAATATATTTTGTGCATATCTAGAAGATTAAGTAAAATCGATGATGGAGAAATGCGTCTTAAACTAGCTAGCATATAGCAATTANATCTTATCGAAAGCTAGTAAATTATGAGTTATCAATCAATCATGCCGATTCCTAAAATCGGTCATGAGAAATCTTCTTAACGCTTTAAATGGTGATTTTCTAGAAAATCGATTTTTCAGACTAACAAACTTTTCGTCAAAACGTGTTTCTTGATCTGCCTAGATTATAGAGCACATTGAATTGTCTTTAAATGGTAAATTTTTCTTTTTCGGGTCTTTTTCTTTTTGCAGAACATACATCTATTTTAACTCATGTATCAATTTTTCACTGAGAAAATCTTCAAGATGATATTATTTTATTTAAAGCTTCTTCTTAAAAATAGAAAAAAAATATTGTCTAATAGAGAACTCGATATGCTCTATGATCTAAGTAGATCACCAATGATTTGTTCAAAATTTGTCTTGGCCTAGAAAACCAACATATGAGAACTCGTGGGAATTTCTTATGCCTATATTCACAACCAACATGGTTCATAATCCATAATTTACCAGCTTTCAATAAGAAACCGACTAGTCAGTTGAAAACATTTCCTCGTTAGATGACAACTGAAAATTACGTATGAAACGCTTCATATATATTTTTCTTGCTTGATAAAAGGTTAAATTGCTTTCGTTTTGTTTATCGTATTGCTATTTGTAGCCTACTCTGTATTTATTAATTGTACTTAGTTGCTTTTTTTTCCTCAATAGGATGTTGTTGATTATGTATCAAAATTTTTTGTTCATTTTAAAGATCTTATTATGGAAACAACAACAGTAGAATTTGAACGACTTGTAAACATGTTTCGAAATGGTATATCGATAATGTTTATTTACTATGTTAAATAATAACTATTCGATTATTTAGCAAAACAAAATATTGATAATTCTTTACAAGCATGTGTTGATCGATATTGGACTGAAATTATATTAAATTCATTTATATTCGATCGAAATAATCAAGAAGTAAGTTTAATTATAATTATTGTTCGTAAATTTTTTTTTAAATAAATTTAGCGTAATGCTCTCGATAGTTTAACTGTAACTGATATGCAAGAATGGTATAATGAACATATATTTGCATCTACTCGTCGTCAACTAATAATTATTGTATGTTCTAATGATGAAATTAAACGAACATCATCAGGTATTATTTCAAATAACAGAATATCTCATGTTTCATATGACAATCAACGGAATCAATATAGTATTCGATCAAGTGTTGGTGTACCAATAGAACGGCTTCCACGACTTGTACGTCGTCAAGATTTATTGGATGAAGATGATGATGATGGTGACGGACATATATCTTTATTACAATCAAAATCTGACTCAAAATTACGTTGTTTAACAACAAAACGTAAACATAATATTGATTTGCGTCAAACAAAAAGTGAAACACTTCATTTAAATAAACCATTTGAATATCCAAATGATATAATTAAACTTGATTATATTATTAAATCATTTGAATCAATTGAAATTACTGATGATCATAATACAAATCAATATGGTAAATCAATAAAAATATTATCTGAATCTGATTCTAATGAATCAAAAAAAATTTATGTTTATATTAATAATTTGAAACAATTTAAAGAATCATGTTTATTATATAATGTTACATGTATTAAATAAATAAAAATATATTTGAGAAAAAAGAATTCAGTTCAACTAAACTCATTGTTTTGGTCATTTTGAGACACGTTCTTTTTTTTTTAACAAGTAATAGTGATAATTCATTTAGTAAAACATAAAAAATCGAATAGCTGTACTGATACCATTCAGTATAATAATTTAATTAGTATATTTTGTGCTTAATTTAAATGAAGAATATGTGCTGTTAAGAAGTATACCTAAGACAGCTTCGACTCATGAGTTTAGATTAAATGAGCCGATGAACTATTGAAAAATATCAGTTTCGATAAAAAGAATTGTTTGAACAGTTCTTGGGATCTTAACTGAACTCTTCAAACAGATCGAAGAAAATTTTCAATAGTTCATTAAATCCGAACTAAAACTAAACTTGCCTACTTCTAATAATAAGTTACATATCCTCTATATGACAGGCATGAACAGGCTTAAAACTTCTGTTTTAATTATTAAACAAACTGTTCATTAGTAGCATTACTATTAGGTTTTTTTTAAAGTTATTACTCAAAGAATAATGTAACTAATATTATCAGTTAGCAAATTCAAAGTCATTCAGACAACGTCTAGTAAAATATTAAAAATACTTTTTTAAATATCTTAATTTAGAACGGCTTAGAATTTTTTTTTTTTTTTTTATTAAGTTTATTTCGCTGGTTTGTTACTAAATAATTTTTTATATCTATTCAACTGATAAATTTAATTGATCTAAACATTTTGCCTCTATTGCATTGAGTAGTATCCAGGTTCATATGCGAACGTTTATGTTTGTTGAAATTCGATCCTTGAAACAAGAATTTCTGATTTGTTTTACTGGAAAAAAATTTCAAGGACGAAATAGAAATATTGACAAAAAAAATGAGTTTGGTCAGTGTTTGGAATGTTTAATAGGTATGTCTAGTCTTATTCTCCAATGATAGAGGAAAATTTTGGTAGATTCTAGTTAATCTTGCTCAGATTTTTCATACAATTCTTCTTTACTTGTAGTCAAGGATTCCCAATTCAAGTCATTGTCGATATATGATTCAATACTTAATTCCTCAAAAATGTTTTCTTAGTCTGTTGAAGTAAGAAAACGATGTACAAGAATTTTGTTGCGCTGCTGGAATCTATCAATCTGATGAAACAGAAGAACAAGGTTTTTGAGTCTATTCTAGCCTACGAAGTGTCAATCAAGAGTAGGCTGCACTAATTCAAGCTTTGCTTTTCTACCACCAAAAATGTTATCGACAGATTTCTTTGACTTCCGATTGAAAATTCTACTTCCTAGAAATTATTGACAGTTTCAGAAACAATTTATTTCTCCACTGGTAATGATGCTCTAAATACGAATTTTTTAAATAGTATTTTATTTTTATGAGACATTAGATTGTTATCATACAAATGAATATGAGCGTCATCTATTATTTATCCATATAATATCACTCTATGTCCAGAATAATATAGTTCTTGCAATAAATGATTATTGTGTTCTGTGTTTTTTTTATGACTTAGTTTCTAATCAATAAATGTCGCTTGTGATTTCTTCTTATCGTGTTAGTTTTTACATTCAAGTGTTATTTTTATTTTAAATGAAAAAGATATGGATATCGAACCAGCACATATAAAATATCCATTAAAAAGACGTCGTCTTCTATTTAGTAAAGCAAAATTGAAAGCTGTTTCACGTACAAGTGCTCTTCTATCGGGATTTGCTATGGTCAGTGATTTATTTTTCTTGTATGTATTGTATGAATATTACCATCTAATCGAGGTTTTTTTTTCTATTTTTTCATTAAACAGGTTGCAATGGTTGAAATTTCATTAGATGATCATAAAAATTCTAAAAGTTCAGCACCTTTATTAGTTGTTTATTCAATTGTAACATGTCTTCTTGTTGGTGTACATCTATTAGCTTTAATGATTAGTACTTGTATATTACCACAATTAGAAGCTGATAGTATACTTGGTTATGAGGAATACTCATCACATACAACAATGCATATTTATATTGAATTAGCTTGGATATTAAGTACTGGATTTGGTAGGAATTCTCTTTTAGTTTTTTAAGCATAAAATCTAATTATGTATTTTGATTTAGGTATATTTTTATTTCTAGTTGAAATAGCAATTGTATGTTGGGTTAAATTTTTCTTTGTAACACGTCCAGCTGCTATAGCAACAACAATTGTTATTGTACCAGTTATAATATTATTTTGTATATTTTCATTACATTTTTATCGACGTCTTGTTTCATTCAAATTAAGTCGTCATCAAGATGAATTAAATGAAATTGAAAATACATTAACAAGTGGAAAACTTGCTCAAGCTAATATTGTTTAGTTAACTAAAACAAAATGAACAAATACATGACATTTTTTCTTTAATCTTTACTATTTATAATCTCATATAATAAAAACAGTGTTTAATGTCTTTTTGTTTCTTGTTTATTGAGCAAAATAAATGTTATTATTCTGTGTTTGTAGATTCTTGTCTGATTTTGTTAATATACGCTAACAATGACAGTGGAAAAATGCGAAGCAATTAAAGAAAAAGGTTAGAACAATATTCATTGATATTTTTCAGCCATATTTTGAATATTTAAATAAATTTTCTTTTTAACAAAAGTTATTAAAAATTATAAGTTGTTTATGTTTTTTGAGATGATAGAGAATTGATATCAAAAGTTCTTTTTCCAGACTAAAAATATATGATGTGATAGAATTGTAGAATGAACAGATATAATACCTTGACAATAGTTTTATGGTTTACCATTCAACATTCAAAATCATTTTGTATATATTGTAATTTAAGGTCGAAATTAAGATTTCCAATTAGATTGATGCATTAAATAGTACTCAATAAAGTATTGATCATTGAAAACTAATTTTTATTCCATATTATCGAAGATTTTTAGTATAATCTAAAGAATTTCGAATAATGATATATTTAAAAAAATGATTAAAATAAAATAGAGATGTGCAAGATTGAAAGATACCGGCCCTTTAGAAATTAGCAAGTTAAAGAATATGAGGAGGGTTGAGGCTGCAGCTATCGATGACTGTCTTTCTTCACTCAACTTAATGGAGCGTAGAGATTGCTGATAGGATGACCTTATCTTACTCTGATGAAGAGCAGTGTAAGGTAAAAATTATAAAATTTTTCTCAGCCAAAGTATAAACATCTCTAAAATAAAATAAGTCCTATTGATTAAGGTCTTTTCCAGAATTCATCCATTGACTCTTTCGTCTATTCTCCATGAGTCGAGAAGTCTAACTGAAATTAATTGATTCTGTTTCTTTTACTAGGCAATAATCATTTTTTACAAAAAAAGTATAATGATGCGATTAGTTGTTATAATCAAGCATTAAAACAAAATGGTGAAAAAGCGACGTATTATGTTAATCGTGCATTATGTTATATAAAATTGAAACAATGGGATAAAGTATATCAAGATGTTCGTCACAGTCTTGATCTCGATCCAAATTATATCAAAGCTCATGCTTATTTGGGTCAATATTATATTGAACAACAACGATATGATGATGCAATAATATGTTTTGAACAAGCACTTGATTTATGCAAAGTATATTTTGTTGAAAAAAATAAATTTTCGTTTTTCTTTTTGTTGTAATAGATTCAAAATAAAAATTTTGGTAATGAAATTCAAAAACTTTTACATTTTGCACAAAAATGTCGTTTTTCATTAATGGAACAAAAACGTATTGAAAATGAAAATAGTTTACAAACATATCTTCATTCATTAATACAAACAGATAAAGAACAACGTATGCAATTATGTATTGAAAAATATTTAGAAAATAATGAAACTAATATAAATAAACAAATTGAATCAACAATCACATCACCATTATCAACAATAGCAAATAGTATTTTAATTTTAAAACAATATTTATCAAAAACAATGGATTATCATAATCATCAACAGACAACAACAAATCTTGATTCAGTTGTTTCAATTAGTTCAAAAACAGCTACAACATCTGATAATCAAGTGAATAGTGTTGTTGATCCACAACTTGACGAAGCATTATTTGAAATCGAACAATCATCCAATCAATCATTACATGAATTAAATAATTTATTTAATGAAGTTGATATAAAAAGAAAGCGACGTGAAATACCAGAATATTTAACATGTAAACTTTGTTACGATATTATGAGAGATCCGGTTATTACACCATGTAAGCTAAATATTTCTTTTCAAAAGACCAAAAGAAAAACAGATTTTAATTTTTGTTTTGTTTTAGATGGTATTACTTATTGTCGATCATGTATTGAAGAAAATCTATATAAAGTTAGTCATCTTGATCCAATAGCCAATAAACCATTAGTTGCTGAACAATTAATTAATAATCTCGTACTTAAAGAAATCGTAGAAAAATTTATTAAAGAAAATGAATGGATCAATGCAGAATCTTTTTAAACAAAATAACATGATCAAAATAAACATTTCTCTTTTTTTTTTTGACCGTTGTATTTATTTTTGTATATACATTTAGATATATATCTGACTATAAAATTAAACAAGTAAATAGTAGAGAAGAAAAATATATAGAACAGTGAATGATAATTGGTGACTTGTTAAATATGAAATAAAATTATTATATTTGATTTAATTTTGCCAAAGAATTTTTTTAACATTGCTTTTTTTCTTAAATAAATATTCTAAACATGATAGTATTCAGCTCATGAGGTAACCTCTTCAGCTGCCCCCTTCGGATTTCGACGATTTTTGCCTATACATACTGTGTAGTATTCTATTAAAAGTTCTAATAGGGTTTCAGTTCCTCCTATTGAGATTTGACTAGGCTATCGAATATTTTTAATATGTCTATTTTCTTGAGGCCCTAGATTTTCTGAAAACTCGTATTTTTGAATTTTTATTTTTGAGACTTTGTACATATAGACAACTCAATTGAACTAGCTTAAATAAAAAAATTCAGAAGTTTTCAACAAAGTCTCTTCGAAATATGAGAGCTTCAAGATATAGATCTTTTTTCATTCATAGTCTAGTCTAGCTGAGTTCTCTATATGCGCAAAGTTTCATACCAAAATTTGAAAATACAAATTTTTCGAAAATCTGACCTATTAATAATTCTTTTTGTTTTAAAGGTTTCTAAAACGGTTTATGAGTCTGTCATAAATGGTAGAAAAGTGTTCTTTATACATTGTACTTTCATGAACCTTTTAAACATTTATTATTCTACGTTTTTTTACAATGTACTGTACTGATCATATTATATATATAGGATATAACAAGTTAGAAGCGTTTAATATGTGCCCCGATGTACTTTACTTTATGTACTCTGCTGCACATATAGTATAATTCTATGATATTTCACCATTCCTCATTTGCTATGATTATATTAAAAATTCGATCACAACTGTTCACGTCTGATTTTATTGTAAAAAGGAAAATTTTCGCTTCTGTAGATAAGTCTATACTTCATTATATTTTACTTTCGACAGCCAGGTTTCATCTCTCAGACTAGTTGAAAACTGATATGAATGGCTTCGTGAAGACCAAGAACAAGATTCGACATATTTATCATCGAACAACCACGGAAAAGATCGAACATACCCATTGCCTTATTATTTATGATCCTCATAGCACGATTAATGAATTGTAAACCCAAACTAATCTGAATCATGGCAATATCCAACAAATAATCTCCGATCATTGTAAACTTAAAAGGATTATGGCTAGTTATATATCGTAACAGCTGACCTTGAGAATGATAATGAATGCTATGGTCTGAATTATAACAGACCTAGTAGATTGTTCTTTGTACTCAACATCTTGTCGACCTTCACAGAACTAATCATATCATTTTATGAAATTTATTGTAGAAACAAAAGTTTTCTTCACGTATTTAAACCAGAGATAAACAGCTTCGATTGAAATTCTTATATGATAATATCAATAGAAGAAAGATGAAATATTATAGAATTATAGAGCACTATTTAGACTATTAGTATGTACAGTAGATATAAAATTATTCAACTAGTAGATAGTTTTATATTCTTTTGTGTGTATCTCAAAAAATTACATGGACTAGAATCATCTGACTTTCGTTAGATCACAACTTAGTCTTTAGAATACTAGTAAAAAATTTCAAATTAATCTATTGTTTTGTTTAGTTTTTATCGTTAATACAATTAAAACAAGGCGTGTTTCATTCTTCAAAAAGTATCTAGCTACTTATTTGTTTTTTGCAAACTGTTGCATGCCTATTTTAATTTGAAATTTTCGTTATAATTAATGATTCAATAGAATAACTTGTGCTTCACGTAAGGAGTACCTTTTACCGTAGTTTTCATTGCCCTACATCGGAAATTATCAACAAAAACCCTACATAAGACAATATTCTCCTATAATGTTTGGTTAATTTGATCTTTCTATATATCGTTTGCACGAGCGCTACAAACTGCATAAGATATTCTATTTGAATAGATATTTCATGTTGGAAAATTGCTTTTATCGTGTCCCATGTATACACCAATCGCATGTAGACGTTCTTGTACTGTCTTATTTACACATCGAAGAAGGTAAAAGTTGTTGTAGCAGTATGGATTTTCGGAGAATGTTTTTCCGTAGAAAACTCTTATATTTGAAGTCAAAATAAATTTTATCACTTAAGTTATATACCTTTGTTACGTTATGAATAATAGGATTAAAAAGTCTATCGTATTGCTACAACCGAACTGCATATCTTACTAAATATATACCAAATTGTGACGCGTCATAACATATCCATCCTGTTGCTGAAAATGTAATAAGTTTTTTTTTACTCCTGCTATTTAAAGTGCAATCAAATAAAAGAGTTAAGGAGACATAATCACTTTTGACTTCCAATATAAGAGTTTGGTACAAAAAAAGATTTCCTACAAATCCGTGCTGTTAAAATAACTTTTACCATCGTCGATACGTCAGTAAGACAGGACAAGATCGTCTGTCTGTGTATTTTCTGACTCTTCGTTTCCGAGGTCATTGCAACAGAAAATGATAAACTTCGATGCATATGTCTGGTAAGTGAAAAAAAAAGAAAACTTACTAAGAACTATATAAACGCAGTACGAACTCACTACTTTTAATTATCTTGGATAAAATGATAGAGGCCAAATTGTCAAAATCACTGTTTTAGAAAACTTACTGAAGATGAACGATAACTTGTATTGAAGATTCAAAAACATTTGTATCATCTGAAGACATCGACTGCTCTGAAAAAAATTCACACGAGTTTCTAGCGACTCGCCGTCTTCTACATCATCCCAACACAAAGTACAGAATTTTTTACATCGAAAAACACGTCAAGTATGGAGACCATATGCGTACGCGTCAAACTACAGAGATGTTGTGTATCACACCGCATTAAATAAACTTGACAACTCAGTAAAAAAAATACGGATGGTGACTTCATAGAATAAACTTATCGACAGACATGAAAATTCTCTCGTTGTTGAGTTTAAGTTTTTTCGTGGAACTCACATATATTTTCGAAGAAAATAGTGAGTGTAAGTTTTAAGGTCAAGTTTTCACGGCTCCCCACCCCTCCCCATTACAGACCTCAGCAATCGACAATAATAGGTGTTAGATTTTCAAGAGTGTTTTTTTTCTTCTAAATTGATCAAGTTATAATTTTGAAAACTAATGAATATCATTATTTGTAAGTTGGTTGACATATATGACAGTTCGAAAGATCTGCTGTAGACATCAAGAACATGTAAAACTGACTTATTTGTCAATTATTTCAATGGTCATAATAATAAGAATGTTAAATTAAGAAAAACAAATTTAAAAAAAATGAAAACAATCTGAGCGGATAGCAACAATGAAAACAAAAAATAGGGTACCCGTAAAAAGAAATAGAAAAAATTCTCTTCAAAATGCAGAAATTAGAAAAGTTCTTATTTCAGTGATTGGTTATCCTGCAAAAAATTATTATGTACAAGAGATTTTTCACTTCACGTTTTTTTACTAGTTTAATGAGCCTAGAGAGCGTATGTGGGTTCCACATTTCAACCCCAAAGGGTTGCGGTAACAAATTAGTTTTAGTAAATAACGACCTACTGATCAATTAATACTTCTTAATAAATACACTGCTGTGAAAAAACAATCGTAACTAACATATGTGTTATTTACGTGATACAATCAATGTTAAGCCATGGCTTGGTTGATATAATAATCTTTATTTGGCATAAATCTTATTCTTATATTCTTGTCGATAACATCATTGCGAAAAAAACCGTAATTATGATGTTGATGAGAACGAGTACCAATAACGCATCACTGTTTGAATTCAACAAAAGGTTGTTTTAGATCGAAACTAGATGTTTCTTGCTACTTGATGTATGCCCACCCTTGAAGACATCTTCTCTTCTCTGTCTATAGTAAGGAACATCTTTTATATGAAAATGCCAAAAAAGAAGGAAATATATGTTATTCCAACAAGTCATCAATCGGATCGATATTGTAAACAAATTATGAGTAAAAAGGCCATGAATTTGTGTTATTTATGACTTCTTGTCATATAATAAAACAAGCCCTGAATAAATACTTTTTTGTTTTTTATACTCAATTTCAGACATGTTTTTGTTCATAGTAGTGTTAGTAGTAGTAGGTATTTCATTTGTCGATGGAACAAATAACACTGCCTGTATACCGATTCCCAAACAAAAGAATACATTAACAATTTTAACTAATCTCCGTCGAGAAATGCAAAATGCAGGTATTGGAATATATATTGTTTTTTCTGATGACGAACATGGAAGTGAATATACACAACCGTACGATAAACGACGTGATTGGATTACAGGGTTTCGTGGTTCATCAGGTGTAGCAGTTGTTTCTTTACGAACGGCAGCTTTATGGACAGATAATCGTTATTTTACACAAGCAGAAGAAGAACTGGATTGTGCTAATTGGCTTTTGATGAGAAATGGCAATGAAGCTGTACCAAGTTTGATTAGTTGGTTAGTTGCTGAAGCACAACAAACAACATGGGTAAGATTTTTATATTCGCGAGTATCAACTATTACGTGTTGTTTTTATAATCATATTCCTATTGAGTAGAAAGAGATTACAATATCTTCATGAACATATAGTTGATAGAAGCTTTTAATAAACATCAGATGATGTTTAAAAAATACATTTCTTCATTAGTCCCTTTAGGATATGGATATGAATGGAATAGAAATCTCGTTCTCACTCATACTTTGTTATATTTATACTTTCTATTGTTAAAGTTGTAGAAGATTTGGAAATATAAAATAAGATGAATTTAATTTCTTGTGGATCTATGCATTTGTTTCATACAGTAGTTCTTCGATATCTATTTTATCCGAAGGGCTAAAATACGGATAGTTTATTCTATTGAAAACATGTTTTTGCTCATGTAGTAACTTAAGATCCTTGAAAATATT